CAAGGCTTGCAGGCTTTACAGATACAGTTATTGACAGAGTAATATCGTCGTCAGAGATTGAAATAGGCCAGGGCTGTACGTCGTTGGCAGCGAAGCGAAAGGCAGATGGGTCTTCTTCACTAATGAATTCCTGTTATATCTGTTCAGAGTTGATTTCCGCTTTCCGCCAAATGAGAGAACGAATAGCTGCATGTTGCATTCATGAGGTCGTGCTGTATGGTTGAGGGGATGTTTTAGTGTGGTGAGGAATTTGGGGACAGGAGTGAACACAACTGGTCATTGTTAACGAACATTTGACAGCTCAGCGTTACCTGGATGACATTCTTCGTCCGATTGCCGTGGTGTCCTTTATCTGCATGACAACGCCAGACCCAATATAGCCCGAATCGTACAGAACTTCCTTGCAGCCAACAAATACAACGTGTTGCCGTGGCCTGTACGCTCCCCAGACATGTCCCCCAATGAACACCGCAGGGATGTCATGGATCGTCGTGCTCGACAGCGACCACATATATATTCCAGCCAACCGACCAGCCAAAGAACTGATCCAGGCACTCCAAGAAGACTATCCACGTAACGTCATCACACGACTGACCTTTCTGCGCTGGAGTGTTTTTGCGTGTCCTGTAGCAAGGGGTGGGGCACGGGTGGCGCAGTTGTCTAAGGCGCCGCGATTCGTTGTGCAGAGTTGCGTCCCTTGGGCTCGCCAGAAACCTATGATTGTGGGTTCGAATCCCGGTTCGCCCCAATTATGTTTCTAGGTTTGTCAGCACCATACCCGTGCTCGTGGGTTTCACCGAAGTGGTAAACGTATGAGACTTGCATCACTTCGGGCTTTCCTCTCACATTAAGCTGACACGCCGCGATATAACTGGAATACTGTTAAAAGCGGCGTTAAACCCAACTCACTCACTCACTCATTCACTCACTGTAGCAGGGGTTGGTCGTACACGCTATTAATGTGTCGTGTCATTGAACGAGCGATATTTAGATGTGTGTACCCTTTGTCCATTACGTTGAAAGCTTGTCTTTGCTACCCCACCTCAATTGTCATGCCAACTATCTTTTGTGTTTTTTCAACTAGAGTGATTTCAAACAACGATAAAGTTTCTTTTTGCAGTCAGTTTTGTTTTTGCTGACACATATTTCGATGCTATCCTTTGATAGATGTTAATATCCAATAGATGAAATGCAATAGATAAGAAATAATGATTTATGATTCTACTTGTCTTCTCAGATAAATAAGAGTATTATGTTTGTGAAACCCGCTATCGTTTTAGGTTGGTTGGTTGGTTTGTTGTTTAACGCTGCACTCAGCTATCGTTTTAGGAAAGGTGTAGGTGCATACTAAAGTATCTTAATCACTTTACGTAATTAGTGTTTAAAATATTTGCTTTTAACATTGTCATCAAAAATAAACGTACACAAATTTCGAAAACCAAATGTAGATAATTTGCTAACTTTGGTAAAAATCGGTTATCGTAATCACAATTGAGATTAACTGTTTATTATGACTTTTGTAATGCATGCTGTCCGGCGCTCTCTTCGAATTCTTACAGTTATAGGAAAGAAAAGTTGAATCAGTTGTTCAGTGTGGGAGCAATGTACTTATCGTGTAGAATTGGTTGGACATCTCCGCATTAACTATTCCTCGCGGAGCTAGAGAACTATCAACATCAATTACCCACTCCCAGATATAGGAAGCCGAGAGGTGATAAAGGGTTATTGCGAAAACTCCATTACACACAGAAAATTATAATGAATGCTTTTCTCCAGACCAAAAACCTGGCAATGATGCCTGTTATTTATGTGCATGGATATGAGGCGTATATGCGATGTTTGGCACACGTTCTGTCGTTAGCCTGCGAGCTCTGTAAGTCTGGTATGCAACAACATGACTGTGGGTTTTAAAGTTGAGGAGCCTCGAGACTTTATCGTTGCAACAAGCTCTTCTCGTCAAGTGTATTGTCAAGAGGCCCTTTCCGTTGTAATCTTGGTCTAATTTTATACTCTTTTTAAGATATTTCGGTCAAGGAATTGGGATGGAAATAGCTGTTTTATGGACACAGGGACCTTTTGGGATAGGCTCTGAAGGGGGTTACGTTCTATTTATCTTTTTGTTATGTTAGTTTTCTTTTTATCAGGGTAAACGAAGCAAACGAATACCAGAACAAATACGATTTTGTGAATGGTGGCTGATTTTGGTTAATTTATCATTATTCCTGGCTATAAGATAGTCGAAAGTATTGTAAAGTTTAACAGAAACATCGACAGTCCAGACCCCGTTAAACAGGATTTTCGTACGTTAACTATTAGTTTTGTAGTCTTGATACGTCGACAGTGAAAGGACGCCAGTGTTTTCGTGTGACCCATTCTTATTACTATTTCTCAAATGTAATGATTACCATTAAGTCATGTGCATGTCATTAGCGACTTATGGAAGTGAGTTACTTTGATATAATGCCACTTTTACAGCATAACAGTTACATCACGGCGTTTCAGTTTAACGTGGGAGGAAATTCCTCAGTGATGCAGGTATCATACATATACCAGTTTGGGGAAACCCACGAGCACGGGTATGGTGCTGGCAGACCTAGAAACATCACCAGGGCGAACCGAGATTCGAACCCACGATCATTGGTTTCTGGAGTACCAAAGAGACGCAGCTCTGCACAGCTAATCAGACGACTGGGCCAACCTAGGCCCCCTTATGCAAGTCTACAGTATAGTATATCAATGAACACATACACCACCTTTCCATAATTGAATAATAGAATTTCCGTCACACGCGCCTCTTTATACGTAAGTCTGATACGATCAGTAAATATACGTAACGCCAAGTTAATACATGTAATTTGATTACAAGCTGGGTTTTTTTCCTTGACGTGTTATTTTTAATAATCAGCATCACACTTCGCCAAGCGAATACAAATAAACGGATGTCAGGCTTCAGTGCCCGAATCACGGACCGCTCTCGCCTTGCACCTGTAGCTATATATAATACAGCAACGGGCTTGGTATGAAATGAAGACTGTAGACTATGAACGCTGTAAATAGCGTGTTGATAACGTGTATCGGGGACAGGTTTTATACAAGTTAAATGGCATAACCATCTACTTTATAATATTGTATTTTAAGCTTCACGGTTCCAAGATAAGACCGACGGGTTTATTTGTTATTTATTTGAGTTGTTGTCTCACTTAGCAGAATGTTACTTTAGATACATGTATGAAACATTTAGGTACTGTACTCGTATACACGCAGGTCTAAGATTATTGAGTATAGTGAATTCTCGCTTACGGGCACTCCCATTAACTCGATATCTCGTTCAACTCGATGTGAATTCGTTGTACTAGGTTAAATCTCAACCGGCACTGTGGTGTTATATGAGCATGTTGCTCGTGTAGAAGTACGGGTAACTCGAAGTAAGTCAAAACTTGTACTTCGACTTTCAATTTTATTGGAAACTGGATGCGTCAATTCATGTGCAACACAAAATTCAATCCTTATGTCTGATGCGCACATAAGCATAAACAAAAACACACATGCACGCGCACACACACACACACACATTCACACAGATACACATACTCTCACAAACACACACACACATACATACATACATACATACACACACACACACACACACACACACACACACACACACACACACACACACACACACACACATTCACACAGATACACATACTCTCACAAACACACACACATACATACATACATACATACATACATACATACATACATACATACATACATACATACATACATACATACATACATTATTAATCCGATCGACTTCTCCAAGAACAGTACGGATTAGCGAGGTCTATATGTACAAATTTCCCTAGACACATTTCTGACAGTTCAAATGGTAAGCAAACAATCGTTTTAACAGACAATTGTAGAAGTGCTAACCAAACGATGGCGTATGGTGCGTTTGTGAAGGCCATTTATATATAGACATGGCATATAAAAGCGGTTAGTCTCGTTGCTCAGTCTGGTGGTAAACATGTCCCAACACATTCAATTGAAACGCTCTGTTAAAAACGTCCATGTGTGTGTCGTCATTCACTGTTGCTCGTATCGTGATTTGGCAGGACGTTTATACACTGCATGCGGTTATCAAAGGATCAACCCCCAAGCTGTGTATACATTTAGCGTAATTGCATGATTATCAAGACCCTTAAGTAGTATGATTCTCCGTTTTATCATTGTAGTTTTGTTTCATACCAGACCAGACCAGACCAGACTTCAAATTTGGCGATACCTGCCATGACCAAAATACAATGTTTGGATTGATAAAAGCATTTGATTATTTTGTGCACTGAAACAGAAATTTACCCGTGATATATATTCTTAATAAAATACCCAATACTCTATACTTCATGCACATAAAGTGTGCAATTCACTACAGGTGTTATGAGGTTATTGAAATCCGTTACAGAATAACAATGGTCCAAAACATGTGTCGGAATACGTAGGTAAAAAACAAAATACTCTACACTCAATGCACAACATGTGTGCAATTTATTGCTGGACTGATGATGTTGTTATAATACGCTACAGATCAACAATGGTCAAAAACCTGTTGGAATACGAAGATAAAATACCCAATACTCTAAACTCAATGCATACAAACTGTGTGTAATTCACTGAAGGTGTTATGATGTTGTTGTAATCTGTATGACAATAGTCTAAAACGTAGGAATGGAATACGCAGTAGACTATGTAGAATAACTCTGTTACAAATGTTTTGAATTTAGTACTGCTTGAAACACAAGCAATTCCTTTTAGGTCAAAGGCCTTCTTGTACGTGACCCTGTCCTTCAGTTTCCAGCGCATGTAACACCTCGATGTTGCCTCTCTGAATGAGGTCATTACCACATCGTTCCTATTGAGAGCTCAAATACTGAAGGGGATCTTTGTTTCAACGAAACAGTGTTAATGTTTTGACAACCGCAGGCATATTTAAAACTTGAAACATTTCCAGCGTTTATTGCAAAGAATGCATTGTAAACAATACATCAACACGGGAACACATTTCAACATTACACAATGTAGACGTCAAATTAGTCATGTTCACGTGAGAACAACATTCTCTGAACGTATGCCTTCTCGATATCTGTTAGTATGAATGAGATATCTAGTAATTAAGGCTCGTGGTGTAAATATGTCACAACTCATTCAAATTTACTTATTATTAGCATACTTATTAATTTATGGATGATAATTACAAAAAGGACAAAATAATAATCTTGGTAAATACTATTCACCCCATTTATATAATGCTATAAACTGTAATGATACATGTATTGTTCTTACATATGTTTTCTCATTTAATGTTTTATGATGATGTTTACGTCACTCCACACATAATAATATCCATACCTCTTGAACATATACACATTGTACATTGGAATGTTTAGTTAAATTATATACTCATGATCTTGAAATAATTTATCACAGTTCTCTATATCTGATATTAGTATGATACGATGCTATAACACAGCAATTGTTTATTACATACAATTGTTTAACTAATTTCAGCATTATTACGTGGTATTCATGTGTGTGCATTGTACTTTACAAAGTCATTTGCACCTTACTTTACAATAAATTTACTGGTACTGATTATATTTTAGCCACATTATTTAAGCTTCAAGTATAATCTTTGTAATCAAAGATAAAAGATGAACTCTAAAATATTGTTTCTGCAAAATTAGATATATGCATATATGTACTTGATATTCTAAATTACATTAAATGGAAACAATTAATATAATCTACAATTAGTCTTGGGAACATGCGATTTACATGCATTGAGCTTGATATACCGTTGACATGTATACAAAGGTAGAATGGAAAACACGTGAAAATGCAAAAATATAAGGTATCAATTATATAGCAGATATTTTTAAAGATCTGTAATGTAGACCTTAAAATCGTTTGGCTTTTCATTAATCGTCATGAACAATGTAAAGCTAATATAAATATAGCTACAAATATAGAGTATGTTTGTAGCACTGTTGGAAACGAGCATCTGAAATACATATAATGATATAAAAGTGTATAAAAACTTCTCACGAATCTTCCATATCGTAATTGAGCCACTGTTGGCTGACACAGTCAATGGTGTGTCGATCGCCAACGTCAACACAACACATATTGCCCATCGTTGAGGAAAACAACGTCTGTATCGTAACCTCCGGTAGTGCAGGTACACACAATCCCTGCTCCAGTTGTGTCGCGAGAATGGATTTCTGTGAACCAGTGAAAGGTTTGTCTCTAAAACAAATAAAAAACAAAAGACATCCTAAACTCCACACATCAGAACGTTTCGGATCGTAAGGAGCTCCTAAAAGCACTTCCGGGGCCAGGTAGGGCCCCTGTCCTAAATACTCGTTACACTGACGTGGCCTGCCGTCGTCGTCGTTGCAATCAAAAGCTAGTCCGAAATCACCAAGTTTCACAAAGGTGCTGCTCATGAGTAAGACGTTGCTTGGATTTAGATCCCTATGAGCAATGTGACAGGAATGACAATAACCCGTTGCGGAAAGGAGCTGTCCAAAAATATTGAAAATGTGGTTATTAGACAGCAAGTCTTGTTCCTTAACATATTGTTGCAGATTGCCCAGTGGGGCATATTCCATAATAATGCAGGCAACATGCACTGTCAACACGAGGCTCTTCATTTGTATAATATGCCTATGTCGCAGTTTTAATAAACACTGGATTTCATTAAAAATGTATTCGTCATCTTCGATTGGACGACTGGACTGAATTTTCTTCAAAGCAAACGTCCCATCCGTACACGCCTCTGTTATCTTGAAGACAGTGCTGAAACCTCCACAATCAATTTCCGTTACAATGGTATATCCATCTTCTTTAACTGCATCTATCCACATCTCATTGTCCTTGTTTCCCATGGTGGATTCACTTATTCTGCAGTGGAAGATACCATAACCTGATATTATAAGCCAGCCGTCTGTAGCTCCCTCCGTTGCAGGAAAACTGTGCTTCCAGCACTAATGTCACTGACAATCGTTGTATGCAAGAGGTTGCTTGAAGTTTGTACAACCATCACATTTGCTTCTCACGAACATAAAAACCAACGATTTATCCAGATGTGGCAAACACAAACCAGACAAATTTAAAAACAACAATAAAAAAAAACCTCTATGAGAATGGAATTCTCTACACCAGAGCGGTTGAGATACTCCAGCGTATGGACGTCTGATTGAGTTCGCGAACCCAGAGTGACATGTAAAACCTGGCACGCCTACCGAGCTGTAGTAGTGAATGCCTCTTGACAAGCGGCAGAACGGCATTAGGTTCCTCCTGCCTCCTGCACAGCTAGATAAACCCTACATGTGATAGTATGGAAGCCGCAGATCGAGTGCAGAGCCATGCTCGCTCACATACATAATCTGCTCCTACTGATAAGCCTAACGAACACAAAACTTCCCATTTGTCTTGGCAGCCACGTGACAGGACATCCAACTAATCAGCCTATCATTCCACCCAGCTTGCATTCAACTCAGGACCATTAGTAAATTGGAACCTCTGTTTCTCCCTACGATCCTCCATTTATTTATGAGTGTATCCCCAACCCCATGCTCACATCAGTTCTGGTAGAAAGCAGACAGGAAATGTTTTAACTAACAAGCCTTTTTCTTTGGAAGTCCATACCAGACGGTGCCTCCCGGGCCAAGTGTAAAGCCTTCATGCCATTGTTTCCCTTGGACCCGACAGAAGTTGTCTTAGAATAAACCTCCATAAAAGTGATGACGTATTTGCGGGCTTCATCTCCTTTGGGGGTATTCCCTGCAGTATTAACAGCTGCCACCAGACAACCACTCTAAGTGAAAGGTTTCACCTGTGGGTCGAGACTAGGTGACTTCAATTACTACTGTAGTAACAGGTGATACCAGGCTGGTGTTGCTGAGTACCCTGTGATCACGATGTTCCCCTGAAGCCACAGGTTCGCAGTTTAAAGGGAGAGTAGGATCCACAGACAGGTTTCTTCTATGTCAAGACGTTGTGTTAAGTGCCTTGTCTAAACGTATTGACGAACCATTGTTACGGAGTATTGTATTTTAAATATTCTTTGACGTTCCTAACAGTCAATAGAACGTCCTGGAAGCTGGGTTTAACGTGGTCCGGACTAACGAGGTTTCGCTTTCGCTGTATATATTTATATTACTATTGATTAATCGACAATAGAAAACATGGCTCAGTACACAGAAAAATGGTGTCTCAAAAACCGGATTGAAATTTTCCGGGACTACCAGTTGGCTTTGCGAGACTCCCCCCCCCCCCCTTTCAAGTTGAATATATGGTAACAATACGTGTTTACTCCGATCCGAATGGTAATCAGGTGCAAAATGGGAATAAAATCGCCTTGTTTATGTCCCACTAAAACATTTGTTCAGCTCCGCAACATTCCGTTTTTTGAAATAATGTTGGTATTCTTCTTCTCCACATTCCGCGATCCTTGACAAACAAGAGAAATGTGTAATTTGGTAATAGGAGAAAAGCATGTTGTAAACAAAATGTTTTCAGAATCTTGGAATCGTCCCACAAAAACTGTATGAAATACGTATGCGCCTATGTAAACAACGCTTACTTACTGGTTTACATCCCAACAGGTTGGAAACTCGAATGTAAATAATATTGGCTCTCCAAGAGAGTAAATTCTCGGCGTTATACTGCCTACAAAAACGGTAAGTGGCTTAATCAAAAATGGTTCACAACGTCCCGTTATTTTCACTTATAAGACGATTAATACTGCCATGTGTTTTACTTTAAACTTATCTCCCAGGCCAAGCACAAGCATATTTATTGGAATCTCTAGAGCGTCGAGTGGCATCGTTCTATGACGACGGGAGGTTGTTGCGGCCCTAGTGTACTTACTCTGTTACTCTCAATTAAATGGAAGATTTATAAGTAATTTAAAACTTTTTTTAAAGAATTAACTGGTAGATAAAAACCCAAATACTTGTACTGCACCCAAGATTAGCAGTGATTAAGGTCACTGAATATTTTCGTAATTGAGCTAACCTTATGCTATGGCTTCAGTCTGTATACAATTAGTCTTATTAGAGTGCTTGCATTGTATGCTTTAGTTAACTGTAGAATCCAGTAGTTCATTCAGGATAAATTGGCCTGGGATTTCATCGAAAAAGCAAATTGATCCCGAAAATTCTTGAAAATAATTGAAAAAAAAGAAAAGAAACTGCCTGCCACAAAAAATATATTGTTGCAATGTGTTTTTCTTAAAATCATCTCAGGCTCATAGTTTTAAATTAAAAACATATCTAGTGTTGTAGCTGTAGCTGGAAAAAATATCTAATCTGTATTTAAAATTATTACCCCACCCTCTCTGCCTCCCGAATATCACATGGTCAGCCCCTAAAGCTGAAATGGATTGAGGGCATACAGGATGATGTGATTGGCTCTGACGTAGTGGTGTGGTATGGTATGATCATGTATATATGATATGGTAAGGTGGTATGACGGTATATATGGTATAATATGGCAAGGTAAAATGAGATATGATATGATTTGACATGATATGATATGATATGATATGATATGATATGTACAATAAACGATGATCATGCAACTAACTGAGATTATGATATCTTTGAGCAGGGACACTCACCCAAAGCATCGCACCGCTGTAAAACATGTTTTTGAATTAGACAAACGAAGACAGAAGGTTAATCTCATGTAACATTTTGTTTAGATGTCTGTTAAAAAATGAAATTAAGTTAAACAAGACAAGGATCCAACTACAATAAATCGAAAATTGAGGTATATTTTGTTTTTTGTTTTTGTTTTACAAAATGTAGGGTTGAATTAAATTAATGTTTCTCTTAGATATATTTTTTTAAATGTATTTCACTGTCAAGAGGGCAATTGAAAGCGATATATGCAAGCAATATTGTTGAACTTTGAACGCTAATATTTTAAAATGCCGTGTACAACGCCAACGTCAGCCCTCACATTCAACGTCGTTACAACACACACGTTTCAGACATAATATGATGTATTGTTAACAATTATTCCAACCAATGATAGGATATGTTACCCAATGGACCTATATTCACAACGGTTATGTTCTGATATTCGTGCCTCAGTTATTATGTTGGAAGCTGCATTACGCGTAAAATAGCCCCACTTACATGTGAGCATGTTTTACTAATCCCACTACTTTATTCTTTGTTTTTGAAGGATTCGTGTCTGTTTTCGTATATTCATACACCTATTTGATTTAAATGTCATATCATATTTAGAAAGATTCAGATTAGGATACTATAATAATAGTGAATTGATTTTGTAATATTCTATATACCGCATAGATTAAATGTTTCTAAATTAATTACGCGTCAAATGGCCCTACTTAAGCTTTAGCGTCAAATAGCCCTACTGTAACAAAAGAACCACTTCCCTTTTTTACATGCATGTATGCAATCTGTGACAAAAGCAGGCTTCCCGAAGAATGTTAAGCGTCTTTTTCTCTGGTATTATATGCGTTTGCTACCATTGTTCACATGAGCATGAACTATACTCCATGACCTGAATGAGAGTTCCTGATTTAATTATCATACTCTGCGCAAGTTCTCCTCCTGTCAGTGGCCACGGCAACATCCCAAGACCTTTGTTGATACTTGCCATGCCTTGGTAAGATAACCACGAGACTATAGGTCTGGAAATATCAATCGGAAACATGTAACAGACTGGTTAGTTAACCTCCGTACTCGCCCTAATGAGTACGCATTTGTTAAAGCAATACACGAGGTATGAAAGCGGTTAGTCGTAACGAACATTTAACTTGGCTTGTTATTTTTGAAACCCTATATGTTGAATATGTGCTCAGCTTTCTCTATGTTTACTTTTTACCATACCTTTGCACCTAACGGTTCTTAAACCTTAGAACACTTCCACTCTCAGAACCGCGTATCTGAATGATGTACCTTAAAACATAATTATGATAAATCCAGACAACGTAAAACACGTCCATTGAAAAACCTTCGATTAGCGAATTTCATAATATTACAATTTCAACCATCCATGATAATTATACGCAAATAACTTTTATTCCTTGGCATATACTTATATAAAAAAACTAAACAACGCATACAGTTCCAAAACATACCACACCAAATATTTTCTCAGACTTAGCGCACACTCTTAAACAAGTTTGGGCAAATATCCCGTTCCACCGCATCAATACTGTCGTTCAATGAACAAGTGAGAAGATGTGCTTGTTTACGAAAGTATAAAGTTGCTTTGATGGCTTATTTACTTTCTCGTATAGCCCCGGTGTAGCCGAGAGATGCTTCCCCACAGCCTGAAGTGTGGCATGACCTTGTATTCCCATGCTTCTGCTCATCAAGTAACATGCCTTAGAGTAAACAAACAGTCACTTGCCATACCTGTTGATTTCGTGTCTGTTGATGGTTTATTCTAACACTAACCCAGGTGAAGAACCTTCGTTGGTTCATTCAAAGCCTTTCGAGAAGTTTCGCTTATGATATCACCTGCAGCCAGCCTAAATAAACCTATCTGTATAATTGTTCTGTGACGTAAATTTTGCGTGTAAAGTCTGATTCCAGAGTCCAACCTTCTTTGTTATACCCATGTTTGTACGTTTCACCAAAGTCGTAGACGTCTGAGACCTGCTTCAATCCGGTCTTTCCTCCCATATCAAACGTGTCTCAGTTCGTATATTCACACGCCTATTTCATTCGAATCGCATGTTATTCTCCAAAAGATTAGGCTAATATAATAATTGTGAATTCATTCTGTAATATTCTATATTGCATAGATTGAACGTTTTTAAATTTGGATTTGACTGTAGACATGTAGACGCGAGACATAATGAATTCTTCCTCTTACTTCCAGCAAATTGATACATTTCTTTCTTTCTGGACCGTGGTAACGTGGTCTATGACGTGCCCAGGGTTCGTTTCTGTATTTTATATTTAAACATGTTATCATGGTTTTGATGAGCAAAACATCGCCATGGTCAGGCGTAATTAGGTAAACTTAATACAAGTAGTATTTGGTGATCTCTTTAAGAGATCTTCATGTTGCAGGATTCCTTTTTTTATTTTAATAATCTTCAGAAATATCGACTCATAGCATACTAATTGCTAATACATACTATGTCATGCATTTGCCCTACATTTATAACTTTGATTTTTATCTACTTCATGTGACAACACGAATGACTGGTAGAATAGCTATGGTTAGACTATGAAGTATCAACAATGTACCTACGTACTGAGACTTCTGCCAACATATGCATGTCCCAAATAACTGAATGAGTTCATCCAAACAGTAACTGTTTGCACAAGCTTGCGATAATAATCACCACTTACTATCACAGTCGGGATTCCTTGTGTCGGATCCTGAGGTCTACCATCAGG